GTGACACCCAGGTCCTGATGGCTCCCCTGCCTCACAGGTGCTAAGGGCCACCTGGAGACCACTGTGAGGACAGGAGCTCCCATGGGACCTCACCCAGGACACGCTGACCCCAGATGCCAGCACCCAACCAGGAAAATAACCAAGCCAATGTTTTGGGAATCCACTCCACCATGCTCCCACCCACCTACCCATCTTTTCACACACACATACATGTGTGTATATATATATATATGTATATATATATATATATATGTCTATCAGTCCATCCACCCACACCATCCATCCATCCATCCATCCACATACCCATCTACCTATTCACCCATCCATTCACCCGATTGTCCACCTTCCCATCCACTTCCCCACACACATCCATCCATCTAGTCATCTGTCTACCTGTCTCCTGGTCCCTCCCCCCATGGCATCTCTCGGTTGTCGGTCCCTCTGTCCTGTCCTGCCATCCTCCCTGGACGTTTGGGTGTGGCTCCCCTGCCCACGTGGGGATTTGGCAAAGCCTGGCTTGTAGCAGCTCCCATTCTGTGGTGGGTCCCTCAGCTCCTGTGGGATCTGCCTGTGTCCTGCTCTGAGGGTTCACAGGTCTGTGGTGGGTGTGGAGGCCCAGGGGTGTTGGGTGGAGACACCTGTAGGAGGCTTCCTGGGACTCCTCAGGATCTGAGTGCCCCAGGCATATGGGTGGGGTGCTGGGTCCCCGTCAATGTTCCTGGCAGGTGGGACCCAGTGCCTGTGGGGGAGCTGGCTGTCCTGTAACACAAGCAGTACCGTGAGGCATGTGTTAGTCCCTCATCCAGGGCAAGTGGTGTGGGTCACCCCGTCCCTAGCCCTGGCCACTGTTGGTTGGGGGACTGATAATGGGGAGGGCAGCATGTGTGGGGACCCAGGACATGAGGACAGGAGGTCCTAGTCTGGAGATGCTGGATTTGATGTGTGGGGGAACTTGAGCCTATGTCCATACTTCAGGTTACCACTTGGCAGGACCTGACACTGACTTGAGTTGGGTCTGGGAGGTATGGCCACTGATGGACCCTCACATGGTCAAGGGCTCAGGTGCGGATCAGTGCACCGCCTGGGTCTCACATATGCTGTTCAGCAGTGGCCAAGTGCCCCAGGGAGGCCTGCAGCCCTGGGTTAGCCAGCCTGGCCTGGTGTCCAGCTGCCTCAGCTCCTGCGGGCCTCTGGTCTGCTTGGTGGCCTTGCCTGGCCTGGCTTGTTTCAGTTCTTGCTCAGGAGGTCACATGTCTGTGGGTGCAGCTGTCCCTGTGGTGTCCCACCTGTCCTAGTCTGAGTGCTGGGTGGCTCCTACTCCTGTGGACTGTGTCCTCTGGAATGGTCCTTCTGTTTCTTAGGCCTTTTTGGTAGCTCTCTGGCCAAATGTGGTGCTCTGGGTAGTATGGTACTCCAAGCTCAGTGGGCCCAGGGTAGGACTCTGTGACCTGCTGACTGTAAGTGAGGACAGACAGACAGAGGTGTGGAGCCCACGTGCCCCCATAGGGCTGTGATGGGCAGTGAGGGTTTTAACATTTTGTTGTTTTTAGATTTTACTTTATTTTTACTTCTATGTGTGTCTGTGTTTGGGCACCATGTGTGTACAGTACCCACAACGGCCAGAAGAGGGCACTGGATCCCTTGCAACAGGTGTTAATGAATAGTTGTTAGCCTTTATATGGACTTTAGTATTTAAGATCTGTGCTCCAAGGGACTGGAGAGATGGCTCAGTGGTTAAGAACACTGGTTCTTTTTGCAGAAGACCCAAGTTTGAATCCCAGCACCTACATGGCAGCTAACAACTGTCTGTAACTCCAGTTCCAGGGGATCCAACAGCCTCTTCTGTCCTCCACAGGCATTGCACGACACAGGTGCGCTTACCTACATGCAGGCAATACATGCATACACATAAAAATAATAAATAGCCGGGAGTGGTGGTGCATGCCTTTAATCCCAGCACTCGGGAGGCAGAGGGGTCCACATAGTGAGTTCCAGGAGAGCTGGGGCTACAGGGAGACCCTGTCTCAAAAAGACCAATAAATAAATAAATAAATAAATAAATAAATAAATAATTTTTTTAAAAAGAAAAGATCTGTGCTCTAGGGGCTGGAGAGACAGCTCAGTGGTTAAGAGCACTAGCTGCTCTTGCAGGGGACCCGGGTTTGGTTCCCAGCACCACATAGTAGCTAACAACTGTCTATAACTCCAGTTCCGGGGGAATCTGATGTCCCCTTGTGGCCTCCAAGGGCACTGCACAACATGGGTGTACTTACATGCATGCAATACACTCATACACATGAAACAAAATAAATAATAATTAAAAAAAAAAAAAAGATTTGTGCTCCAAAAAGTACCTGGACTCTGAAGACACTCGCGTAGCTTGGACATCCTGTGCTCCATGTGGTCTTGGCTAGCTTCTTGGGACCCACAGCTTGGCACCCTTTCCCTTGCCTCTGCTGAGGGCACAGTCGTTGGTTCTGCCGTTACTAGGTATCAATGTGGCTGGTCTGGTACCCAGACACTGTCCCTGCACAGTCTGCACGTGCATGTGACATGCCTGGGTGCCTTGCAGACATATGGATGTGTTTATGAACATGAATGTGTTTCACTGACCCTAGAAAGCCCCCGGAGAGTGTTGTGATTCAGGACTGTGATGCCATTTTGCAGATCATTGAATCTCATGTGGTTGGTGGCATCTGTTCTGTCTGGATGTGAGTGGCCCATGGGCTCTAGTCCACTATATGTGTCTTCTAGTGCTGGTTCCCAGAGCCTTTCTGTCCCATACTTGAGGTAGTTGGTGGCCTCTGTCTCACAGAGATCCACCTGCCTCTGCCTCCTAAGAGCTGGGATTAAAGTTTGGGCCACTACTGGGAGACTCTAGGCTGTCACTCTATCCCTGGGCCACGCCTCAGCCCCTCACTGGGCAATTCTGGGCTGTCACTCTACCTCTTTTTGGCATTGTGTAAGTGCATTTATGGTCACGTATGCACATGCGTGTGGAGGTCAGAGGTTGAGGTTGGGTGTCTTTCTCCGTCACCCTGCTGTTATTCATTGAGGTGGCTAGTCTGTGGATTTGTTCCAGGAAACCCCTAAAGCACTGGGATGACCCGAGACTGCCACACCACATCACCCCACTTTATGTTGGTTTTGGGGACTCAGATTTGGGTCCTTTGTGATTACACAAGAAGTGCGTTTCTGCTGAGCTGTCTTCCTCACCCCATTTTTATTTTTATTTTGTAACCCTGCCTCAGAATATGAAGTGAACAACCCTGAGGAACAGCACACACACACACACACACACACACACACACACACACACACACACACACACACACACACACACACACCCCACACGGCTCATTCATAGCAGTTCCCAGCCTAGCAGTTGAGGTAAGAATGGTATTTCAAAGGGGGATGGTGAGCACCAGATGAATGGCTGATTGTGACATTCCAAGGTCAGTAGCTGGTTTTCAAAGCTTCTTAGTCTATATCTTCATGAGTGACTCACAAAAATGCAGGGTGCTTACCTCCCTTGGGCTGATGTGTTGGTGTCAATTTTTCTGTTAGGCTTACTAAATAGTCTGAAAGAGAGTAGAGATACGAAAATACATGCTTAACTGTACAATGCAGCCACTGGCTAAGGTG